AATGGCAAAGAGAAAAGGATTTTACAAAAGACTTGCAGATTTTACAAAAGGTGGAAATAGAAGGGAACACATCTTTTCATGAAAAGTAAAAGGGTTTACTGTAGGTATATCAGGATCTTGCATGTGGCATTTGGGACTTGGGAATCTAATATGTAGGAACCAGGTGTTGTCTGATGCACGCGTTGGGTAACCCCTTTGACTTCAGTTGGGTTGCACGCTGGATATATCAAGATTGAATGTGGCTTTTGAGATTTATAATGATGGTTGGTGTTTTTAAAAAAAATGGGGAGGGGAAGGTAAGGGGACCAACAAAGAACATACCCTCAGGATACTGATTTGAAATTTTGTAGGAGATCAAGGGAAGAGAAAGATATTGCTATAATCAGAATATAACAAGCAGATCATGTCTGAGAAGAAAAACACATTTTAAAATTCATTTTACCCCCCAAAAATGAAACTGCTACACTGCAGAATTTTTCTGTGGAAATTGAATATGGTATTCTGGGTACAACAGGATCTTTCATGTCGTTAAAAAGAAGCTTCAAAGCTTTCTCTTCTGCTCCTGGATCAGAGCTTTCTTTATGCCTTGAGGAAAAAGTGCAAAGATTTGAGATGTCTTGCAGACTAAAATCTTTTTGAAAAGCAACTTCAGTGTTATATTTGTATCAATTATTTGGCAACAAAAGTAGACCGTAATACCTCCTTTTAATGAAGATTCCTTCATAGGTATCACCGTATATATATATTAAACACCGCTCCCAAAAAGGGTGCTTTCATTTCTCAGTGTTTGTTTTATATAAAAACATAGCTTTGCTTCCCTTGAATGCAGCTCCTTTAACTGGCACTTTAGAGGTATGCAAGTCATTTCTGCTCACCCCCTTTCCTCAGGCTGACCCTGCTGGCATACACAAGAAGCCAAGTCTGAGATTTAAAAAACAAACAAACCAACCCCAAAACACTTTTAATTATCTTCTGGCTCACAGTAGAGAAACTGAGCTGAAGTAACTAAAAGTCCATGTATTAAAAGTAACGTTGTTGGTGTTTTTTCTTTTTTCCTACACTCAGTATTGAATTTTGAGAGATGGCCTTTCATGAGAGAATGGTGGTCCTGTGAATGAACGAGATTGTTCGTTTGTTTTTCATTGCAGTCAGACATACATTTTAGCTATAGCTGGCTGAAAAATGCAATTTGAAAAAACAAACGAAAAAAAAAAACATGACCACAGAAGATAATTTGGGGATAGGGCTGTGAATTTGAATTTTTTTTCCAAACATCAATTTGAAAACAAAAAATATCAGTGAGCTCTAGTTTTGTCCTTTATGAAGACAGAGCACACTGTTAAGGTGATTAATATTAAAGCTGACCTAGTCTAATAATAGCTCCGTCTGGAAGGTGAAACTAGCTATCTGTTTCAAGGTTGGTTAATTGTTTTGGCCTACCAACCTTGATATTAAACTTTGCCATTTATCTGTGCAGAGGCTTGAAAAGAGCCTAAAGAGTCTTCTTGAAAGTGCTAGAATTATTAGCTGAAGACAGGCAGGCTGTCAGGTATAGTATTTCCACTGCCATGCATAGGCTATATTTGTGAGGTCATCTGAACCTCTTACACACACTTTTTTTTAAACAAAGCCCTCACAGCCTGTGGTTATATAGCGGATTAGTCGTAACAGCTGTGGGGTAACAAAGGATTAAAACTATCCTAGCATATGACAACATCAGCAATGAAATGCACGTGGTGTGAGGTCTTTCATTGTCAGAGAACTCCAAAGACTTATAGGATTATATGCATATAGTGAATATATTTCTATAACGTTTGTTTTTCATTCTTTGTTCATGAATAGCCATCAGCTTTCATAGTTTTGTTTTCCTATGGCCTGAAGTTAATTTACTGTAGAGAGTTCATCTTCAGGAAGACAGTTGCACAAAATTACATCATCTATGAAAACCTTTCCTTGATGTCTTTTGTTGACAAGTTTTTAGGATGGCAGATAAATTCTAACTACACTTTGCAGGCTAACAGAAAAATATTGAGACAAATTCAATCCACTGTAGTCATTTACACCAGGGATTAATTTGGCTCATTTTATCTTCCTCTGGGGATTAGTGGGCAGAGAATTGGTTTAAAAAAAAAAGTGATGTATTTTGAAGTTCAGTGGTATTTTTAAATGCTCAATTCAACTGTTTAGTATCTGTTCAGGAATGCAAATGTAAAGCAAATGTTGAGATATGATCAACCAAAAGAATAGGAGAGTGCAGTTGCTTCAACAGTTGAGTCATGGTTACTTACATAATTTAAATCAGACTTGGTGAAAATGTTCTAATGAAATACGTATGCACAATAATGACTGTTCACCTTTTATCATCCTACTTTGACCTCAGGTTAAGAGGTCTCATATTAAGTGAGTTTGCTGAACTTGTGATTGTGTCCAAGAACACAACAGAATTTATGAAGACCTCATCATCTCTTTCATAATGTTGTGTGTCTCTTTCTAGTAAAAATCACATACTCTCTACGTTCAAATCCTCTCCCTCCATACCAGGATTTGCAGCTCTTGTTATTACTATTATTTGAAATGCAATAGTGCATAAAGACCCAAATCGAAATTGTTTATTGTAGCATTCCCCCTCTTTTAGAGCAAATTTATTTTTTTCAGTGTTACTCATTCCTTCTTAACTGGGCTCATTCCTTCCACATAGGCTGGGAAGAAGGAGGAGAGGTGGCTAAAAAAAAAAAATTGTTTCATTGTATCATAGGACATCTTGAAATTTATTTATTCTTATGAATTATATTTAATGAATGGTCTTAATATGCTGTACAGTTAAGCCTTTCTTATATTTTTTCCATACATTCCAATACATGTATAATATGTACCACACTGTATGCAACAAACATTTTTGGGACACGTAAATTTACCTTTTTTAAGCAGCAAATCCCTCTTTGAGGTGGAATAAATGGGACACAGTCTGTTCATGGCCAGCTAGGTGAATTTTCCTGGCTAAAAAAAAATCCCTCTAAGAAGTGGGCTTTTGTGTGTGTGGTTTTACTTTTTTTTTCTCCCATGATTTGGCCTCAGAGACTCCTTACCTAACTAATCAAGGATTCCTTTCCCTAACCAGCTTTTCATGTTTTTTCCATTTCTTGCTGTTTTACTTTTATGAAAACCTTTTGATGCCTCCTGGGAATATTTGGAAGACATTCAATTTAGAAACCACTCTGGTTATGGATTATAATTTTTATGGGTGTTTTTTTTTAAGCTGTTTTGCTCAAAGGTGGATCTCTTTCCTCAGAAATTAATCTGCTCCTGCTGTTTATATCCTGCGGTGAGTGGGGATAATCTCTAAAGAATTTAATTGTGATGTCACAAATAGGTTTGTGAATTTAGATGATGTATAAGCAGCAGGAACAGATGAATATTTAATCAATGATCCTGTTCTCCAGCAAATCCCTCGTACTATAATAAAACAAAACCAATCAACCAACCAAAGAAAACCAACCAACCAAAAACACCACAGAACAATACAAAAAGGGTGGAGGGGAGGGGAAAATTGAGGAGAAATACGAAGAATGAGAGAGATGCAGAATTTTTACTGTTTCTAAATAATGTCCCACCAAGGTATCTGTGTCCCTTTAAGGTTTTCACTGGCCAGTGTGACAAAGCTGATTGTAGTTAACCATAGGAAGTCCTGTCTCTGAGGAAAGAGATTAGTGGACTTCTTGGGCCATATGTATCTCTGATGTAACTCCATTGACTTGTAAATTGACATCCAGGGTTGTGTTTGGCCCTCTAACCATAGTAGTTCAAAATCAGTTATTTTATAAATAGTGGTATAATTTATGCCTCTGGTGTAAACTGGTGAGAAGATTGGTGCAAGCAATAAAGTAGTTTAACTTGTACAACTTTGATATCTAGAGCTGTGTAAACTTAAATGCACTATAGCTCATTTGTCAAGTAGTCAGAAGAGAAAATAGTAAGCAGAAAAAGGAACTAAAAGGAGGACCTTAGGTTTAAACGCTGCCATCCTTATTTTATGGTCATGGCTTTTCCTTTTAAACTTTCTTCTGCCCCCTGTTGGTGTGTAAATTTCAGTTATGTGAAAAAAGCATAACATGCAACCAGAGGAGCAAAAGCAGGTGTAACCCTGCCCCTTTTCTAACCCCTGGTATAAAAGACATCTCTACTTGTCAAATTCATGGTGGTCTCAAGACACACTTCCATAGGAGTTCCACCTGGATTCTCCAGGCTGAATTTAGCTCATTTTGTATATGCTTTATGGGGAATATGTGACCATGTATCTTAGCAGAAGTTGGATAGGAGGTGGGGTCCTAGGAGTGGGGGGACAGGGAGCAGAGGGGGTTGAATAGGGGTGGGGTCCTGGGGGGCAGTTAGGGGTGGGGGTCCCGGGAGGGGGTGATCAGGGGACAAGGGGGGGGTTGGATGGGTTGTGGGGCCTGGGGGGCCTGCCAGGGGCTGGGGGTGTGGATGGGGTCGGGGCAGTCAGAGGACAGGGAGCGGGGGGGGGGTGGTTGGATAGGGGGTGGGGCTCCGGGAGGTCAGGGGACAAGGAGCAGGGGGGGTTGGATGGGTCGGGGGTTCTGAAGGGGGCGGGACGTGGGAAGGGGCAGATAGGGGACGGGAGCCAGGCTGTTTGGGGAGGTACAGCCTTCCCTACCCGGCCCTCCATACCGTTTCACAACCCCGATGTGGCCCTCGGGCGAAAAAGTTTGCCCACCCCTGGCCTAGTGGGACTCCAGTTCTGGCCCTAATCTGGATTAATTTCAGATAGGCTGTTGTGGGAAATCCCAGGGTTACTATAGATTCATTATGGTGAAACATCTAACTTTGGCCAAGTGGAGCCTATAGTTTTCTCTTTCACGTGCTCAAAGTAAGTTGAAGGTTGGTCTTTATTGCTAGAGTGTTATGAAATATAAATCTTCAAGATTCATGGTTTTCTCTCCTTCTCCCCACCCCCCAAAGTAATCTGACTTTATGTATTACAGGCAGAAGCAACAAATTAACAGTTTACATCAGAAGATACGGGAGAATGAATTACGGGCTCAACGTGCCAGGCTGAGCCATCTTGTGAATTGTGAAGAACCTTATGTGACTAATTTACAGGTAAAATGGTTATCTTTGTTTAGGTATTTCAATATATATTAACTGAACGCATCAGAAATACCTGAGGGCATGTTCACAGTTCCACTGCAGGCCAAAAACTAAAACAGTTCAAATTGTTTCTGTAATAATGCCTAATACTCATACTTTGCATACATTTCAGAATGTTCTGTTAAATGTCCTTTTCTCCAGTAATTGCAGAAGTGTTTAAATTAAGTATTTTTATAGTAGGTATATTTTGTGCTTAACATCAATTTTACTAGTGTGTGTGTGTTTGAAATCTGAAAAAAAATGTGTGTTGTGAAGACTGAGGTTAGAGCCATCATAGTATTCAGCCAGCAGAGGGATCTCTAAGACAGGGTGCAGGGTAATGTTAGAGATGAAGTTAAATGAGGAAGAGATATAAAAAAGAAGAGGTTGAACAAAAGTAACATTTTTATAATGTTCGCTATAGTGTCAGAAGTTCAGCACCTTAAAATAAATGGAAAAGATGTAGAAGCCTGGGCTGTGATGGTCAAGCAAGGGACCAATGGGGTAACTTTGCATGGCAGAACAAGACAACAAATTTGGCAGGGACACTTAAGTAGGACCTGGGATAGTAGCCAAAGATGCATCTAGAAGGAAGGTGGTGGGGGGGAATGACAATGGCAAGTGTAGACAAAATATTCTCCTATCCTGTTTCCCTTGTATCACCTTAACCTTTTTTTTGTTACAATCAATGGACGAGATCCTCAGTTCATGTACTTAAGCATAACTCCATTTATGTCACTGGAGCTATAGTGATGTACCCCAGCTGAAGACCTGGCCCAGTGTATGTATAAGCTCATAGAAAGAAGAATCTGAATGCCTGATCATTGGCTTTTTGAGGCGGAGAATTTAGCATGCCTGTAAGCTAACAAATGTATTGACTGAAATGGAAACACCATGCATTGTTAATTATTTAGGGAAAGATTTTCAGGCACCTCAGGGATTTAGGTGCTTAATCTCAGCTGTAGGCACTTCTGCAAAATCTCCTTATTTTGTAAAATTATTTTAAAATTGTAAACATGCTTTTCTATACTGAAATAGTTACCTACTAGAGATTGGGTGGATGTGAGTTTGAAGAAAAAAGTATTGACTTTTTTTTCTACATGAAAGGGGCAGTGACCCCAAAACCTGCAAGGATGTTCTGGGTTGGTTTTATTTATTTATTTATTTAGCAAAAGGGTGTTGCACACAATTGTACATATAATCATATTAATAATAAACTTTATGTAAAATGTTAATGAAGGCTTTTCATAATTAATAGCATTTTTAAAATCAAGCCTCAGAGGATTTCTGCTTTAATTGGTTTATTCAGCATCTATTCCTGGGAGTTATTTTTCTTAACTGTATTCCTCATACATAGTTTAATCTTTGAAAAGATTTTAAAATTATTCTGAATATTTTGTCCGTTTTGTTAAAGGGACGTTGTCAGCTCAGATATCGTGTCTTTTAACAAAATCAAATTGCCTCATAAATTCCAGTGTAGATTATGGAAAGGGAAAGATTTTTTTTAAAAAACGCAATTTACTTTTCATCACTCATGCTACCTATCTCCATCTTGCGCTTCTCTCACCATGGACAGTGAAAACAGAAATGTAATTTTCACTCCTGTGAAAGAGGAGGCAGCTTGGTGCAGTAGATAGAGCAGCAGATATGAAACATAGGTTCTGTTCTTGGCTCTGCCACTTCTGTGATCTTGGGCAAGTCACTCCATCTTTCTGTACCTCAGTTTCTCCATCTGAAATATAGGGATAATCATGCTTACCCTCTTTCAAAAAGCTTCTAAAGATGTAAGCACCATTGCAATATTTTGGTTTGTTCATAGTCATTTGTAGTCTGGCTTGCTTTTTGGGTTATAGTGCAGTGTTTGGGGTTGGAAACACTACGGATGTCTTGGCTTCTGTAAAAGAAAAACCTAAATTTGGAGCCAAATTTGACATGACCCTGTCCCTTTAAACATGTTATGGAGATCATCATAATTTTTCATTTTAAGGTCTGATTGCCAAATTCAGATATTCTCCTGCTCCACAAAGTATAACTTCCAGAAATTCATGATGTATTAACTTATTTTTTGACAGGTTTCAGAGTAACAGCCATGTTAGTCTGTATTCACAAAAAGAAAAGGAGTACTTGTGGCACCTTAGAGACTAACCAATTTATTTGAGCATAAGCTTTCGTGAGCTACAGCTCACTTCATCGGATGCATCACTTGCGTCTGATGAAGTGAGCTGTAGCTCACGAAAGCTTATGCTCAAATAAATTGGTTAGCTTATTTTTTGATGCTTATAAATAGCTCAGACATCCGATATTGACTGAAAATTAAGCCCCACTCTATCTGCGTACAAAAAAACGTGATGTTGTATAAGACTATGCCTTCCCTATGAGCTTAAGTTGCGATTCCCCTGTTTGTGCTATTTACAGCCGTGCTAGCTTGCTGAGAGCTGGCATGAGTATGTGTACATGAGCAGGGGAATCACTGGGCTTGTAGTGTAGATGTAGCCTAATGAACACCAGTGCAGTTATTTTTCGTAGCTTGTACTGTGTCACCTCTCCTCAGTAAACATGTTGTAGCATGTGTGCATTTTCTTTCTAAGCCAGGCACTGTATTTTTAAATCTACCAAGTGAGAGGGTTTTCTCGAAGAGCTAATGTCAGCTGTACTTTAACTATACTTTTTTTCTTGTTTTTAAAGCATCCACAATATGAGATCACATCATTGCAAGCTCCATTTTCAGAAAGATCGGTATCCCACTGTGAGGAGCTTGAGCAAAAGCTTGCATCAGTTGAGAATAAGGAAATGCAACTCAATGAGTTTCTCAAGCAAATTTCAAACAAATCCAGTGAAGAGAAAAAGAAGATGGAAGAGAAAGTAAGTGGCTTTCATGTTTAGATTTCACCTTTTGTGCCATGGTGTATCAGAACTTTTTAAGTAGAAAGCAACTAATGTGTAGGCTCTAATTTATCCTGCGGTGTCTATAGCCAGTCCACAATATGGCATTTAAATATGCCGGGCCTGATTCACCACTTGTTCCAGTGTTACATGGTATTATGCAATTACTTGATTTCGCTGCACTGCGTGAAACTGGAGTATCACAGTGTGACTCATGCCCAGTAGAAGTGTACCAAACTTCAATCCTGTCAATAGAGTGGCAGCATGATTTCCCTGTCCAGGGTGAAAAGGGCTTTTAGTTTTTCCTTTTAAAAAAACCCTCTTGGACAGGGGCAGTCTTGCTATTTGTATGTGTGTTCAGTGCCTACTGCAGTGAAGCCCTAGGTGTGACTGTAATACAGGTAACAAATAATAATAGCCAAACAGATGCTATATACTGCCACAGGTACCATAGCCTGTAGCAGTTTTTTAACATGGCTGCCACATGGATTGGAACTTGTTAATATGGATGTAACTCTGGAAACCTTTTTTTAAAAATGCCTGTGTTGCTAGTCCTCCCTGTCAAGGTTCCTTCCCCTACTCTGAACTCTAGGGTACAGATGTGGGAACCTGCATGAAAGACCCCCTAAGCTTATTTCTACCAGCTTAGGTTAAAACTTCCCCAAGGCACAAAGTGTTTGCCCTTGCATTAGGTAAAACGCTGCCACCACCAAGTGATTTAACAAACAATCAAGCAAAGGACCACTTGGAGTTCCTCTTTCCCCAAAATATCCCCCCAAGCCCTTACACCCCCTTTCCTGGGGAGGCTTAAGAATAATCAAGATGAGCACAAACCAGCCTTGGATTTTTAAGACCCAAAAAAACCCAGTCAGATTCTTAAAAAACAGAACTTTATTAGAAGAACAAAAAAGGTAAGAGAACAACTCTGTAAGATCAGAATGGAAGATAATCTTACAGGCAATCAGATTCAAAACATAGAGAATCCCTCTAGGCAAAACCTTAAGTTACAAAAAGACACAAAAACAGGAAAACACATTTCCTCCAGCACAGCAAATTTACAAGCCAAAACAAATAAAACCTAACGCATTTTCTAGCTAGATTACTTACTAACTTTGCAGAAGTTGAAGGGCTTGCATCCTTGATCTGTTCCCGGCAAAAGGTATCACACAGTCAGACAAAAGCCTTTTTTCCCCCCTCCACATTTGAAAGTGTCTTGTCCCCCTCATTGGTCATTTTGGGTCAGGTACCAGCGAGATTACCTTAGCTTCTTAACCTTTTACAGGTGAAAGGATTTTGCCTCTGGCCAGGAGGGATTTTATAGCACTGTATACAGAAAGGTGGTTACCCTTCCCTTTATATTTGACACTCCCTAAAGTGGAACATTCAGAACAGGGGCGAGAGAATGCTGGCTGAGGGAGCAGTAAAAACAACTCACTAAGATAGCATTAGCCTCTCCTGGAGGGATGAGAAAACTATAGGCAGCTTCACTGGTGTTAGCCCGAATGTAGATGGCTTTCTCTGTTCCAGCTGCCATTTTCAGCACCATATTAATTAAGCTTGCTCCCTGCAAGCATATATGACCTGATGCTAAAATCACCCATCTTCATTATTGGTTTTGTGGTTACTAAGGCGAATGAAGCCAAAGAGGGACATTTTCTGTTAAAATTCCATGGTGTCGAGAAGGCAGTAGGTTTGTAAGCACAAAGGCTTGTAACAGTGTGTTGAAATCTTAATTTTTTTTCTTTATTACTTTCAGTTGAGCACGTTCCCTTAGAAGGAACATCGCCTCCTCTGAGCAACCCTGGATACATCTTAAAATACGCTACACCAGTGGTTTTCAAACTTTTTTATTGGTGACCCCTTTCACATAGCAAGCCTTTGAGTGCAACTCCCTTTATAAATTAAAAACACTTTTTAATATATTTAACACCATTATAAATGCTGGAGGCAAAGTGGGGTTGGGGTGGAGGTTGACAGCTCGCAACCCCCTGAGGGGTCCCAACCCCCAGTTTGAGAACCCCTGCGCTACAGAAACTGATAACTCAATTTAATTTCAAAACTCCATTAAATCATGTCTACAATAGAAAAATTATCATTGCTGATAAGTGTCAGCAGAATGGATCTGAACCTCTCTTGAATGTTTGAAGTGGTATTCAGAAACCAGTTAAAACCTGTTGCTGACACTGTTTTCAGCTCCTGTCAATTAGGTTTGCTCAGGGTGTCGCTTTCAAGGAAAATGGTATCCATGTGCCTCAGCCCAACAGTCTGAAAATTCATGTGATTTGAAGCACTTATTAACATGAATAAATGAACATATATTTTTTTAAAAATACCGTGGAAAGTTTGGGACTAGAACTGCTGTGTCTAATACAGCAGATACAAGTCTCATATATTGAGCCATTCTGCCTTCCAGAGTGAATATGCCAAATCAATGAGTGAAAAGCTGCTGCCTCCTCTCGGAGAGGTGCAGCGTAGAAATTACAGTGAAAGACAAGGACGGCTCCCGATTCTGGGCTGTTCTGGGAGTTGGGCAGAATCTCTGCAGCCTAATTCACTACACAACCATGACTTATTCTCTAAGCTCCATCCAGCCTGTGGACTGAATGAGGCAACGATCCTGTGGAAAAAATATGTGATCATGTAATTAAATGAATGCATTAAAGTAGGATGGGATTGTAATTGTAGAAAGGAGGGAATACAGGGCCAGAAAGGGCATGTGCTACTGTAGGGACACAGCTGACAGGCGGTCTGAACTCTAGACTGGGGGCTAGGTCTAGGAGGCAGCCTATCTGCATGACCCCTGTGCACCGTCACGGTGCTCATGTTAGGATCAGTCAGAGCCCACAGGGGAGAAGGCCCCTGATCAGTGACTGAGGGATTGATGCTGGGGGTATGGAAATTATTTTGCTCATCTAGGGATGATAAAGCTGATTGTTACTGAGAAAGGTGTTGAAGTGATTTCTGGTTGAATTCCTCCTCCCCAAAGGCTGTGGAAGGGATCTCCATTCCAAGGCAAGGGGTGGGGGATTGAAACAAACTAGTAGTAAGGGAAACCTGTTCTCCCCCTGCTGCATACAAGAGGACCAAATTAAGGTTTCATGGGCCACCTTAATACTGACATTAACACTAACTTTTGAGGGCCGACCTTTACAGGAAAAATAATTCTCAAGGAAGGGGGGAGAGGACACTGGGGATGTGGAGATGGAAGGAAGGGGAATATCAGTGGCTGACAATCCAGCTAATAGAGGGAGAGAAGCTACAGACCGTGATTGCAGGAGAGGACCTCAGGTTGTGGGTGCAAGAGGGAAAGGAAGATGTGGAGAAGGCCATTATATCTGTCCCTGAAAATGCAGGAGGATTTTAGTGGGCCAAACAGTTGTGCAAAACCTCACTGAAGAAAGCACAAGCCCAGCATCCCCTAAAGGAAGATATGTCAGAGGAGCAAAGGCATTTTGGAAGGTCATAGGTTTGGATGTATCTCCAAATACTTTGGGGTTTTATCTGGTAAGAAATACCTTAGAACAGCCTGAATGCTGTATGAGTTTTTGAGGCCCTGATAATTAAGAGATTCATATCAAAACTACCGTAATCTTAAAACATCACAGAATGTGTATATAGCCCTCCCGTAGTCCCCAGGATCCTGACTTGTTTAGAAAATTGTCCCTAAAAAAGCTTTTCCGATGTTGTCAGCTACTAAGCACTTTTATAGACTCCATCATTAGACTCTGACATTGCCAGTGTCACACATAACAGTTGTTTTTCAGCAAGATGGATGTTTCCAGCACTAGACACAGAAACACCAATTGTATGAGATATTTTAAAGGGTTACATTTGACACTTATTCATAGCGACACATGTTTCTAATCCTATAAATTGCTAATCTGTTGATCTGAGCAATATGGGTAGAGTTTTCATTAAATCAGATCCTGAGTTTGAAGACAGGTTTTGAGCAGTCTTTTTTTTTTTTTTAAGTCCTTGTTAATAAAGCAAGTGCCAGGAATGCATGTATGCGTACTGATCTTGGCTGTCAAACATAGCAAAGAAATTATTTTGCAGGCTGAGGGTGAATTAAGATTCCTGTAGAAAGTCAGCCTTAACAAAGCTGCTATTTCATTGTGATGTCCTCTGATGTAGTTGTTGGACTGTGTCAAGGTCAGTTTTTTGGCTCAGATTCCTATTGGGTTTAGTCCTGATAGATATGTATTTGAAGCTGTTTTTTAATTCCTGTAGCTGTTGCACAAAATAATATCCAAAACAAAACATTTAGGACATCTGTTTTGAGAAGATGTTATCTGGCTACCTATTTATATTGTGTGTATATTATAAAATGAGAGTTGAAATAACATTTTGTAACTCAAGAAGAGTATCATGAGTAAACCACTGTTACTGTCGTAGTGGGTAGAGCATTGGACTCAGGAAACCTGGGATCTGTTCCTGGCTCTGCCACTGGCCTGATGGGTTACCGTGGACAAGTCACTTCACCTTTGTGCCTCATTTGCCCCTCTGTAAAATGGGCCTAATGATATTAACTTCCTTTGTAAAGCACTTTGAGATCTAATGATGAAAAGCACTGTTTAAGAGCTAGGTGGTATTATCACTGCTCTACCTTTAGGCACCACATGAATCAGGACTCCATTGTGCTTGGCAAGCACATACAAACGGTCCCTGCCTGAAAAACAAGACAGACAACGGACAGGAGGGGAAACAGGCACAGGGATGTGAAGTGACTTGCCCAGTGCCCCACAGCAGGTCAGTGGCAGAAGCAGGAATAGAACCAAGTCTCCTGACCCCCAGTCCACTGCCCTATCTGAGGCTATGCAGTTTGTTGTGTACATGGCTTCGAAACACAGTATTTACCCAAGAACTCGGAAGCATGTATGTGTTATAAGTTTTTGGGTTGTGTTGTTTTTAAGTAGGGCCGAATGCTCTAGTGGCTAGTGTGCCACAGATCAAAGAAAGCTATCTCAATTTATACAGAATAAAAAAGCTCAAGAACTAGGAGTAAAAGTGGCTATGTTGTATGATGCTTAATGACTCAAACCCACAAAAACAGAGCTGTTGCCCCTTGGCTGAGTAGCAAAAATTCAGAGTCTTGCAGAGAGGTTTCCATTTGGATGAAAAATTGGTGGCATAGTATGAGGGTATTTTCTTAGTGCAGTGGTCACCAAGCGGTCAATCGCGATCAACTGGTCGATCCTAGAGGATCTCCCAGTCTATCACGATCTCCAGTGGCATAGCATGGCTGCCACTAAGGCAGACTCCCTACCCCGGCCCCACGCCACTCCTGGAAGCGGCCAGCATGGCCACAGGGGCAGGGGTCTCCCTCTGCGCGCTGCCCTTGCCTGCAAGCACCTCCCCCGCAGCCCCCATTGGTTGGGAGAGCTGCGGGAGTGGTGCTTGCAGAGAGGGGCAGCATGCAGAGCCACGTGCCCCTACCCCACAGCAGGGGCGCGTTGGCCCCTTCCGGGAGCAGCGTGGGGCCAGAGTAGGCAGGGAGTCTGCCTTAGCACCCAGCCATGCTACACTGCCGACCGGGAGCTGCCAGAGGTAAGTGCTGCCTGGCGGGAGGCTGCACCCCAGCCCTGAGCCCCCCTCCCAGAGCTCACACTCCAAACCCCCTCCTGTATCCTGCACCCCAACACTCTGCCCTGGCCCAGAGCCCCCTCCTGCACCCAAACTCCCTCCTAGAGCTTGCACCCCTCCTGCACCCCAACCCCCTTCCCCAGGCTCAGCCTAGAGCCCCCTCCCACATTGCGAACCCTTCAGCCCAGAGCCCGCACCCCCTTCTAACCCCCTACCCCAGCCCGGTGAAAGTGAGTGAGTGAGGGTTGGAGAGAGCGAGTGATGGGGTGGGGGTAGATGGAGTGAGCGGGGCAGGTCTTTGGGGAAGGGGCGGGGCAGATCCTGGGTTGCCCTTAGATTCAAAAAGTGATCTTGGGCATCAAAAAGTTGGAGACCAATATCTTAGTGTAATATGTTTATTTACAAACAAAGTACACTAATCTTGTCTGCCTGGATAGCAGTAGGAACAAAGTAGCACATAGACAGCTCTTCTGCAGTAGCCTCATACCAGGCTTTGCATTATCCCAAGAGAGAATTCTCTGCCTCTGTTTTTTCTCTCCAAGGACTCTCACAGACTTGCAGCAAAATGTAGACTCTCTGTTGACTGTCCACACAGTAATTTTGTTCCAGTCCTCCCACTCCTAATATTTTTCATGTCTCTGACCACCAGGCATGCACACAGAGCAAGCCAAAAGAGTGAGAAACTTCCTAACACTGTGGGCAATTGACATAAAAAAGAATGTGTTAAATAAGGATGTTTTCAATTCCGAAGCAGTGGGTCATATAAACTGAGGTAAAACAATTGTAGCTTCACATATGTTTGATATAACGCAAATATTTAAAGATGGTAATTGTTCTGGGTAGGAGATACTGGATTTAAGCAAAATAAATGACCCTTTGGTGTAATTTTCTGTAATAACTAACCTTTACTTCTGGCTAAGAATGTTGTTTCTAAAGATCTGCTGAGTTTTGAGAATTTGGAAATAGATTCTTCATTATCTTGTACTGGTTTATTTTCTACCACAATAAATTATGTAATCTTATTACTCTTTTAGCTTAAAACCAGAGACAGATACATAAATAGCCTGAAAAAGAAATGCCAGAAAGAGTCTGAACAAAATAAAGACAAACAGAGACGAATTGAAACCCTAGAAAAATACCTGGCTGACCTGCCAACGCTGGATGATGTAGAAAGGCAGAGTAAGCAGGTAAGGGAGAAGTATCTGGTTTTAATAATTCATAAAAGGAGAGTTACAGATATAAATATATTCTGTGACATGCATTTGTGACTGGGGTTCCAGGGGAGCCACACTGAGGTTATGCAATTAGGGCAAACTGTAAAGAATGGGGCAGACAATCCCTAAAGCTGGTGGATATTCCAATACTAAATTTACCAAGCCAGCACAAAACAGCTTCTGTAATACCTTACTGGTTACCCAGAAGCCAAAACATAGTTCCCTTAAAGCAACCCAGCCTTGGGCTTTCACCCAGATGCCCAAGTCAGATATGATGAGGATTACTGAACATTTTATTCATCATAGAAGAAAGTTATACCAGTCCCTAATGATTGGACAAATTAACTTCCAAGGTAATGAATATTTCAGATCTTACCCATATACATGCTTACAGCCAATTCTTCTTAACTAAACTAAAATGTATTTAAGAAGAAAAGAGAGTGAGTATTGGTTAAAAGATACATACAGACATGAGTACAGTTCTGAGCTCAGTTTTATAGTAGAGATGGTGAGCTTTGTAGTTGCAAAGAGTTCTTTCAGAATTTGTCCGTAGGATATAGTCCAATGTTCATATTCAGGGTGATCCAGGTGGGACTGGAGATCTCAGTCTTAGGACTCAAGCTTCTGTGTAAAGCATCAAGCAGATCTGAAATAAAAAGGATAATAACCCAATGGTTTTTTTATACAGTTCCAGGCCTTCTCTTGACAGCTCAGAGTTCTTAAGTGAGCAATAGGCAACCACTGAGACTTTGAAATAGACATATTTCCTAAGCATCACCAGTAATTAGCTATATGGATTAACACAAGGCAATTGTCCATTTTCAACCATTTGCAGATGATTTGCTATACATTTCAAAGAGAAATCAATACAGTGATATCACTATATTTACAAAAAGAAAGGGAGTACTTGTGGCACCTTAGAGACTCACGAAAGCTTATGCTCAAATAAATTTGTTAGCGACTAATGTGCCACAAGTCCTCCTGTTCTTTTTGCGAATACAGACTAACACGGCTGCTACTCTAAAACCTGCCACTATATTTACACTTCATTTAAATGTTAAGATCTCCTTTTGATCTCTGAATTAACAGAATACAGCATAGACAGGAAAAGTTTGGTTACATTGTTAACCTCCAACAATATATATGTAAACACACACAAAAACACAAACATTATCTACCAATATGTTTCTAAAGGTTGAATTCAGGTCATTTATCTTGCGAGATGCTTTACCCTTTCTGGCCATGTGTCACACCATTATTGATTGTTTTGCAATTCCTCTTGACTGAATTGCAATGTGGATCACATTTTTTCCCCACCTGATTAGAAGACAAATATTTAAAGTGTTAAAAGGTGTTTTAACACTGTAACAAGGATAATTGTAATAGAGTTAAGTGCACTGTAGTTGGAAACAGTCAAAATGAGGCTAAAAGTGTATTCAGAAGGTAAGTGTAAAGCTGGGGCCTGTAGTAAGTACTTCTAATACAAAATTGAGCATTGTATCTGACTATTTGGATGTATTGTCTTAGCTGCATATTCTAGAAGAGAAGAACAAACAACTCCAAGAAACAGTGACCGATTTGGAGAAGAAGCTTGGAGAGACTAGAACACAGTGTAGGGAGAAAGAGCTGCAACTCATGTGTCAGAAAAAGAAAGAAAAAGACCTGGTTACTACAGTGCAGAGGTATGAATACCTACTTGATACTCTGGGACTGTTTCAGTGTGCTTGTTGTTTCAAGCTGCCGAATTCTTTGCAGCTTTACTCCAGTATGGTGTCAATGACTTTTGTGTCACACTGGAACGTATTACCACACAGAGGGTGACAGTGTGACACAAAAGTCATTGACACTGTACTGGAAATATGATGAGATTTCCTTTGTATCATGTTACAAAGGATACGATAACAGAGGAAGGGCTGACTCTCACCAGTGTCTTTCTGAGCTGGCAGCATGGAATAGTGCCTGGTGGGGGTTGGGTAGAATAAGCGTGTGCAGCAAAAGAGCATTGTTCAGAGACTCCCAGAATTCCAAACTAATAAATAAGCCTGTACTGGACTGTAGGAAAGCTCAGAAGAAATTTATTGAGGGGTAAGCTAAGCATGGAAGGGTCAAAGATTTAAAAATCCTGCGTCCATGTCCTAATGGGGAGGTATTTGTTCTGAAGCGGGAGGATATTTACAGGGACATTTAACTGCAGCTTGTGCCCTATTGCTGGCCTTACATAATAATAAAAGAACAAATTGGGCAGATTTCCATAGAAAAATTCCAGATGGATGATTGAATGAGACAATGTTGTTATGGTGTATGTTACATTCTTTATACTACTTAAAGGCATAATTTTAAAAGGAAAAATATCAATTGGAGTTTATGTGATGAAGACGGCCAAAAGAGAGAGGTTATGGAAAGCATAATTTCTCATAATTTGGGGTGGATGTCACTTTAATTCAGGGCCCCTCACTTGCCTAAATGTACATGCCAGTAGCAGTCTAAAAGTGTGTTACTGATGAAAGGCTAGCCAGTTGGGACATCTAGTCAGGCAGATCACTGGGCACATTGTTTCCATCTTACAGCTGATGCACGCTTTTATTTGTGCCCGTGTAATCTACCGTGGTGGTTTTTGTCTTTCCTGAAAGCCTACAAATATTTGAAATGATCTCTGGCTTCTATATTGGAAAACAGGATTGTCACTGTAATAAAATACACTTATTTTTGAGAGCTACTGAGGGGAGCATATAGGGGCTTTAAATGAACTGCAGGGGGCTGAGAACATTCCTGTGGTGCGTAAACAGTGTAATGGCTGAGATTTGTGGCTTTATGCTGCCCATCATAGGGGGCAGGAATGACAGACCATAGTGCTTGGCACTGTGGGCAATTCTGGACTGCAGTGGAGCTCATAGGGACCCCATAGGCAAATTGAGTAAAGCTGCTATAAGAACAACCCCCAGGACTGCTCTGACTAATGCTGGAGCTGTTTCAGCCCCCACAGCAGCCCATAAAATGGGCAGCACAAAGGTGTTTTAAAGTCACATTTGTTCCCCTCTCTCTGGGTGCGCCTCTGGTGCCATGCCTCAAGAGATGCAACACGCAATCTGGTCCAGGATTTATTTTTTTAACCAGGCAACAAAGTATTACAAAGGTGCAGTATATATTGGATTAGTAATAAAACTTTCCTGTGTATTTAGATTGATCTGTTCTTGTTAATGACATGGTGACTTCAAGAAATCCAGGATTTACACCTGTCGGTTTACTTATACATGAAGCTGGAATCTACTTGTAAAGTCTTGGTGGGTTTGGTGAGAGACTGGGTGATGTTGCTTATGGTGCTTTTTAAACCCTCCACTAGAACATTTTGCAGTTTTGTTTCCTTGTTTTCCCAATACATTGACTAGTTGCTTTTTCATTCTTATCTCTGAATTGCAGTTTGCAACAGAAAGTAGAAAAATGTCTGGAAGATGGTATCCGCCTCCCCATGTTGGACACAAAACAGCTTCAGAGTGAGAATGAATGCCTCAAAGAAAAGAACGAGAAAGCCCACAAGGTCAGTCCATGAAACTGATTAGATGAACTGTCAGCAGCGTCCACAGAATGTCCAATTGTGTTCCTTTGTAGTCTTTTTCTCTCACTCAATTTTTCACGTGTATTGCTGATTCCGGTTTTTCTTCAACACGTGTTTTATGGGTCAGTGCATTTGTTTTGCATGAATCTCGGTTGCACAAGAAAATGTAAACCATTTTTGGTCAAATAAAATACAGAGAGACTTTGTTTTTACCAAGAAACTGGCAATAAGTTAATTGTGATTGTGTAATTAGTAATTTCATGATGAAGATTGCTGTGAGTGTTAAGCAGTATTTCTCTCTTTTTTTTATTATTATTATTTACTTCTTCAAGGATAGGTCATTTGAGTTCCGGGTTTAGACATTTATAAAAGAAAAGAGGGTTGCTAGATCAGAAATTATAGAGATTATTCTACTTAAAACTCACAGGGTCTATCATCTTTTTGAGTGTGGCACTTAGTCATATTTCCCTTTTTTTTATAGGTTATAGACAATCAACAAAATCAGATAGCTGGGATGATTTTAGAAATTCAGGTAAGGAAATGTATATATTTTGCCATTGGTTTAGTCAGCTGCAGTTTCTGATAATGTGCTATTAAAACACAGATATACAATATCTGTCCAGATAGGAGCTTGGAGTAGAAACATCTCCTTAACCTTAATTCAACCTTAACTACAGTTATCTGCATTCCCTCGTAGTGTCCTAATTTATTCATTATTGATGTGTTACAAAGTTTCTTTGCATTGGCCATATAATTTGGTGGAAAAAACATTAAACAGTAAATGCAAATCTGTGAAGTAGTATGTAGTTTCGCTAACTTCATAACTGAATTTAAATTTCAAGTGTGAGCAAAATGAAATTGGGCAACTGAAAGTCCTAATATTTAGTAATCAGTAAAAATAAGCTTTTTAGCACTTTGCAGATAGAAACAAATTGGATTCCCAGCATAAGGTGGAAAACTGCCTCCCTCCAAGCTGCCTTATGCTGATGGTCCAAAGGATGTCATGTCAGATATCCTCAGAGTGGATTATGTCACTTTTGGTGCTATTGATATGACTGCACACTCTTTAACAATGCGTCATGGGACAGGCACAAATTGTAGTCAGATAAGAAAAAGAAATGCACGTTAAACACCTAAATATTGAACACTAGCAGTTGTTCAAAGGCTGCAGTCTTGAATGCATGGAAATCTAACAGGAATGGGTTTGAAATAAAAGCCACTATTGATGAGTTGCTATAGTATGAATGATCTGGCATACCTGTTAACAAAAATAAGTAAGTTTCCTTCACTTACTTTCATAAAATAACTGATTAATTTTACCCATCAGTTGGACTGACTGTTTAGTAGCTTAACACACTTATGCCATCACGATGTATTCCTGGATCTCTCCAGTTCCCCTATAGTTTAAACCTCCTCATTCCATCTACTTTCCTGGTGCTAGATATATCAGTGGACCTCATTAATATATGTTGAGGGTCTTACGCTGAGTCAAATTGTGTGTTGAGCTGGATTAGGACCAGTGGCTACAAGCTCTGCTTCATTTATTGGTACCAAGGCCAGCATTGCCCTAACCTGAGTTAGCCCCAGTAACCATTCTATGTCCATTGTCAGAGCTTGCTGCTATTGACAACCTATTTTTAAACAGTATCTTCAGCACAGGATGCTCGTACAGTTAAGAGGTGGAAAAAGGAAAGCTTGCATACCTGACACTTGTGCCCAGCGTTCTGTCAGCTGTAGTTGACAGGCTGGTTCTGTTCTCACACCATCATAAGTCAGGTCTGACTCCACTGAAGGCAGTGGAGTTACGCAGGCAAAACTTGGTTTTATATGAAAGGAGAGTCTGGCTTCTTATCTCCATAATGTCGCTGAAGATGCTGTCAGTTTCAGTTACCTGCTGCATAAGTACTGGGTGTGCAATGTAGAAAACTTTCACCCTTAGAAAATAATTGAGGGTCATAATGAGTTTAAAACCAATCTAGGTATGAGGACCAGGATCTCAGGTGCAATGGGGTACCCGTCAGCACACCCTCAGGGCCAACAACAGCGGGGACAGCCAGATTGCAGCATGCTCCATACATACTCCTGGTTTGGGGGTCCTGGAAAGGGATGGTGGAGAACTAGCTACGCCAGCTCTATGCCAACAAAGGATTTGGCATGCCTGGGGAATCCTCAGCTGTCTATTTAGGGCAGCTTTAAGTTGCCTTTTTACTCCCAGAGCAGTGCAAAGAGGACTCTGTGTGACCAGGGATCTTGCTCTCTCCTTTAAAACTTCTCTATTTTTAAATTAGGATCTCTTTCTTGTCTTCCTGTTTGTAAGAGAGGTGCTTGCCCCTGAATCGCGTCTGCTTCCAGTTTCCTGTAAGCAGCTCTTCAGTGCCCCATTTGGTGGCAACCCAAATAATACTGTCTCTTCCCATTAGAAGACTCCTAGATACAGAGCACCAGCACTTGCATCCAGGGAGATCCATAAACACCCCCCAGAAAGATCCACAGTGAGCCTTAGGGACCAGGTGGTAAGCACTAATGGCCTGCTGCAAATGGGAGGCTTTCAATTGATTTCAGTGGGTTTTGGATCAAGGCCCAGCAGACCACCCCCAAAAGCACAAAAATTGAACTTTAGAAGCTGAGAAGCTCTCTAGCCTATTTCTCTATGGAGTCAGCCCCCCCAGAGCACCCAGATTCCCCTCTGTAGACCTGCCTGATGCCTTGTGTGCTCCTCCATTGTCATTTTGTGCTTCTGTTGAGAGAGGAAGGGAGAGAAGAAATATGGCTGTTTCACCAGCCCCGTTCCTCCCCAGCCTGTTCCAGAATAGGGAGTCCTAGGCCGCTCCAAAGGGGAATCAGCAATTTCAGGCTTGTTGACTTCACAGCTGAGTAACCCACATATCTTGGCAGGACTGTTTTTTTCTTTTTCCTTCTCCCCTCCCCTGCCATCTTGATATTTTTGTGGGGGTGGAGAAGAAGGTTTCAGTGATTGTTCCTGGCGACCAGGGTTCCATCAGTCCATATTTACTTGACCTCTGACCTCATCAGTCATTATGTAGCACTTGTTCTCCTGTCTCCTGCTCCCGCTGGGAGTTTAAAGGAAATTGCAGGTGAATTGTTAACATCACTAGAAGAAGGAGGATTTCTTTCCAGAACCAGGAAGCACAGAATGTGGTTAAGCAAAAACCAGACTAATAATACCTTTTTGAATTTTACTTATTTACTCAGTGAGTTCATCCACAATTTAAAATTATGCTTTATACGTGTATTTTCAGTTCAGTATTTTCTTTAAAAAGTAGCCCCTCAAATATTATTTTTGATATTTGCCTCCTAGAAGTATCAGCTGAAATCAAAACAAATCCTGCTCCAAACAACAATTTGTGACCATTTTAATTTCCTGTTTATTTGTAATGGTTTTGATCTTCCCTTTTTTTTTTTTTTTTTTTTTTTTTATTGTGAGAGAGTAATGTCTTGGTTACTTTTGAGATGTTGTTTTGTGTGCCGAACATCTTCAAAAATAGAAAATGTAGATGGCGGTTGCTTTTTTAAAATTCCGGTTCAAATGATTAAATTAGATTGTCACAGAACTAACATTTTCTTTAGGAAAAAATAAAAATTAAGAAGGATAGAAAAGCCAGATTGTACAGGGCACTTGTTATCTAACGCATATCTGGCGTTTCTATTGTTGGAGCTATTTGTGTATCATGACTGATGGGATTAACACAACTGAATTTTAGCTTCATATAGAAAATGTATAAAGTAAATCACACAGCGAGAGGGGAAGGGAAAACCTATAGTACTGTGTGTCCGGGATGGTAAGCCAGTGGGCTTGTATGTGAGTGGGCACTTAGACATGAAGCTCCTACCCAAGGTAGGATTAATAATTAATACAAGTTTCCAATTTTAGTGATCCCTGGCAAATGCCAGTGACTCATGAGCTGATGACATACATATGATTCAGTAAAAAGAAAAGGAGTCCTTGTGGCACCTTAGAGACTAACAGATTTATTTGAGGTGCCACAAGGACCCCTTTTCTTTTTGCGGATACAGACTAACACGGCTGCTACTCTGAAACATGTGATTCAGTGTAATATAGAATTGTATGTGAAATTATTTCCAGACTATTCACTGATGGAGTGTGACTACAGTTATACATAAGACACAATGACAGAGAGAATTTTGAAAATCAAATGGGAAAACTTAATAGTACCTTTGAACATGTCTTTTTTAAAAAAAACAAACAAACTTGTAATGTGCATAGATGGGATGAACATAAAACAAAGAATGTAAATGTACATTCAGTGTGATTGTTGAATGTAAGGTTTCAGAGTAACAGCCGTGTTACTCTGTCTTTGCAAAAAGAAAAGGAGTACTGGTGGCACCTTAGAGACTAACCAATTTATTTGAGCATAAGCTTTCGTGAGCTACAGCTCGCTTCCCGATGAAGTGAGCTGTAGCTCACGAAAGCTCATGCTCAAATAAATTGGTTAGTCTCTAAGGTGCCACAAGTACTCCTTTTCTTGTTGAATGTAAAAACCTCTTTTAGTTGATATAAATGAACAATATCTGGGGGGTCTACATCAGGGGTGGGCAAACTTTTTGGCCCGAGGGCCACATCGGGGTTGCGAAACTCTATGGAGGGCCGGGTAGGGAAGGCTGTGCCTCCCCAAACAGCCTGGCCCCCACCCCCTCCCACTTCCTGCCCCCCTCAGAACCTCCAACTCCCCCGCTCCTTGTCCCCTGACAGCCCCGCCCCATCCAACGGCCCCCTGACTGCCCCCCGGAACTCCCTGCCCCTTAAACTCCCCCGCTCCCCACCCCCTTACTATGCTGCCCAGAGCAGCAGGAGCTCGCATTCACGCCACCGTGCTCCCTGGCAGGAGCGGAGGGCCAGAGCGCTGGCGCATAGCAAGCTGAGGCTGTGGGGGAGGGAGGACAGCGGGGGAGGGGCCGGGGGCTAGCCTCCCTGACCGGGAGCTCAAAGGCCGGGCAGGACAGTTTGCGCACCTCTGCTCTACATGGTGATTTAGCACACCACTGAGTAAATTCTCTTATTATTCACCTTTTAGAAGTCAAAATGTAATAGGGAAGACAAATCCTGTGTATTTGGTTCTGGTGTGTCAGAATAGGGAAGCAGCAGCACCATTCTTCATTACTTTCAGGTTAATGCATTTGGAAAAGCTCTATGCTATTGGGAGTCAAATGGGCAGTGGGTTAGTGCATTAGCCTTTGAATGCAACTCTCAGAGTAATTTCATATTCAGTCAAAAAGGAATTAGTTTATCCTAAAACTTCATGGGCATTTTTCTGTGCCCCAAAAGCACTGTACAGTTTGGAACAATTCAGCACAATTTGCCATGGCTGCTTCAGTTATCGCTCTTCTTCTCCTTGAGTTCTTCATATCCTCAAGAAAAACTATTAGAGAATTGGGATGAAACCATAAGGTTCCTATTGAAATTGAACTATAGAACTTAATAAAGAACGATTAATCTTACTTTTTTTTTAACCATCTTCTTAGAATTCTCTGAGAGAGAAGTGATTCTCTATTACATTTTACAGGACTTTTCCAGGAGTCCACATAAGAAAATATTCTTCTGAGCCAATGCCATTCCGTACATGGGCTAGCATTGTGTAGTAAGCAGTAATCTATGGAGAACCCATTTTAATTCTTGCAACACGACCTTGAGTTCCACTGGCCTGGAAAGGTTAAATCAAAATAGTTCCACCAGTGAAGAAGTATGCAGCATTGCCACGTATGCTCCTACTGTATTTTGAGCAAGCTAGGAGTGGATTGACATCAAATAATTGGAACTGGCAACAGGTTTTACATATTAATGTGCTGATCAAAGGCTATAAAGGAACCTTTGGGTGCACTGCGAGAGCATATCACTGGGCTTTGAGAGCAATAACATTACCAACATGAAAAAAATCCCCCTTTTTGAAGCTTTGCAAGAGTCTGTGGTTTAGAGCCTTAGGAGTTTATATAAGCAGTAGCTCAGCTTTATTAATATTCTGAGTGAGGCAGTTTGACTGCTTCTCTTTCTGGATTTGAGCCAAATAATCCTGCAAAGCATATAAACATAGATAAGGGAAATCATCAAGTGGTGAAATAAGTCTGCATGATACTGACAAAGATAACTAAGGTCATACTGAATTGCAGTATATGTCCCAGTGGAACTATGTATGTGGAGGTGTCTCTTGGAACCCAGAAGTAACCTTTGTAAGCAGGAACTAGAAACCCACTACACCAGCAAAAGATGACACGTGCACTTAATCTGAAATATTAATATTATTTAGTGATGTACGTTTTCAGAACTATACAAACATTAACAAATTCCACATATTTGTGCAGAGCAGGATTATCCCTATTTTTGAGAAGGAGAACATGGAATGTTACGTCACAGTGACATACAATAAGTACAGATAAGTGTTTTAGATGAATGGAGTTTGACAAATGTTTATAGTCAGATTATATATATATATATATATATATATATATATATATATATATATATATATAATAAAAGCTAGGCAAAGGAAATAAAGCAATGGTGTGAATTTCTCATGAGATCAAGGTCATTGTCTCAGATGAGCTGATATTGTAAGAACTTTGACCCAATTAGGGGTGAAATTTGTCCTGTATCTGTTTTCCACAACTTTAAGAAGCTTTATAAAATGGATTTATTGTTATTTAAGCATTCAGCTGTCAGAGACAGTGAGGTGAGACCACTAAAGCACACTCAAGAGCCGTTGACTCAGCACCACTGGAGGAGTTGATCACAGAATCATAGAATATCAGGGTTGGAAGGGACCTCAGGAGGTCATCTAGTCCAACCCCCTGCTCAAAGCAGGACCAATCCCCAATTAAATCATCCCAGCCAGGGCTTTGTCAAGCCTGACCTTAAAAACTTCTAAGGAAGGAGATTCTACCACCTCCCTAGGCAACGCATTCCAGTGTTTCACCACCCTCCTAGTGAAAAAGTTTTTCCTAATATCCAACCTAAACCTCCCCCACTGCAACTTGAGACCATTACTCCTTGTCCTGTCCTCTTCTACCACTGAGAATAGTCTAGAACCATCCTCTCTGGAACCACCTCTCAGGTAGTTGAAAGCAGCTATCAAATCCCTCCTCATTCTTCTCTTCTGCAGACTAAACAATCCCAGTTCCCTCAGCCTCTCCTCATAAGTCATGTGTTCCAGACCCCTAATCATTTTTGTTGCCCTTCGCTGGACTCTCTCCAATTTATCCACATCCTTCTTGTAGTGTGGGGCCCAAAACTGGACACAGTACTCCAGATGAGGCCTCACCAATGTCGAATAGAGGGGAACGATCACGTCCCTCGATCTGCTGGCTATGCCCCTACTTATACATCCCAAAATGCCATTGGCCTTCTTGGCAACAAGGGCACGCTGTTGACTCATATCCAGCTTCTTGTCCACTGTCACCCTAGGTCCTTTTCCGCAGAACTGCTGCCTAGCCATTCGGTCCCTAATCTGGTAGCGGTGCATTGGATTCTTCCGTCCTAAGTGCAGGACCCTGCACTTATCCTTGTTGAACCTCGTCAGATTTCTTTTGGCCCAATCCTCCAATTTGTATTGATCTTTTTGGTCAATGTAGGAATCAAATCTGAGAAGTTGAGTATTTATTAGCAATAGGTTCATAGAAAGTTATTGCTGGTTTGTAACTGCTAGGATGATCATTTGGACAGCTGAAGTGACCCAAAAGCTATTAAATTATTTTACTTTGCAGCCACTTGTTTAATCAGGATTCTTTCACACACACAACCCCCTCCCCACTGCACAGTTCAGGTGTTTTAAAAATAATTTTGTAAAAAATTACAGTAACTGCACCATATCAAGCGTGGTCATCAAAGGCCAAAAAAGGCCTTCGATCTGAATTTACCATCAAATTCTGACAGTACTCTAAGGAGGGGTTGTCTCCATAGTCTTAAAAATGGAAAAAGAAAGGTGAAAAGAACTTCATCTTGTTCGTGACAATGAAATTAGCACAAAATTGACACTTAGTGGGCGTTAAGACGTTCCTCGTATAAAAAGGAAATAGCTGCTTGGAATTAATTATAGTGAATAGTAATTTTAGACTCCATGTATTTTCCCCTACTTAAAATCCACAGGTATTTGTGTTTATTAAGAAGACACTTAACTTATTTTAAGGGTTTTTCTCTGAGGTTTGATATAACTGTAGAAATCTACCATGATAACTTAAAATTTTCTCTGACTAGAAATAGTCCGTATCCTACAGAGATTTGCTCCCCAACTGACTGCTAGAGGAAGCTGTTCCTATCGCTAAATGCCGAGTCATTTTAACGCTGATGGGAAGGTGGTGAAATAAATAGATGATTTACTGTACTTGTTATGTTTGGATTTACTTGTTCCTCAACAAAATTTATCCCAATGGACCACAATATACCCCAACTGACAAGATACAAGAATTAAGGCACTTATTCCTGTTTTTATTCTATCTAGTCTATGGAAGAAAAGCTTTTGCAAGGGAAACTGACAATGCAGAAGATGACAAATGAGATGGAAGAAAAAGAAAGGCATATACAGCAGTTAAATAAAACTCTGCTTGAAGTAAGTAATTAGAAACCCCTGATAAAAATATTTCTACTGCAGTAGGGCTTTAGATCCCAGTCAGGGCCCCACTGTGGTAGGTGCTCTGCAGGTATGTAGTCAAGAGACAGTACCGGCCCTGAAGAGCTTACTGTTTCAGTTAATGACAAGACACGATAAATGAATGAAACAGACAAATCGGTGGGGATTTATTGCCATTCACACTTTGAGTGAGTGTTCTAGCCTGGAAGCTTTGATATGGATGGTTTATTTTTAATTTTTAAAATCAGATTAGGCCCTAAATCTGCCATTTAATAAATGCCATCATTTATCTAAGTCCATTCAGTTTAATTCATATTGTTCACTGTTTGAAACAGAAAATATGCTGCTTTTTTGTATGGTAAATGTTTTGAGATGTCTACAACTGGTGTGGGCTAGTATTAGATGACAAAAATGACACAGCCCTTTTCTTTTTCTTTATTTTCACAAAGAGCCAAAGACTAATGGAAGAGAATGCCTTTTTGAGGGAGCAGATACGCCAGATGGAACAGTCCAGACAGCCAGTGTCTCAAAAGATGCCAGTGGCTGACCAGTTGTTCAAAGAAATGTCTCATTGTTTGTTTGACTTGAAAGCACTATGCAGCATTCTTACCCAGAGAGCTCAGGGCAAGGAGCCTAACCTCTCCTTACTGCTGGGAATCAGATGTAAGTGATATTATCATACAATATTTATATTGTACTTTGACATTGAGAAACCACAGTCTATAGCAATGGAATCTAGTTTGGGCTGGCTGAGACCTGTACTTTCTGGTCACCATGTAGAAAACTAAACATCACTCTTTCTATATTTTTCAAGTGTTCTTGGTCATGCCGTTATTATTCCAGGCTATTAAGTATTTCCTGTTAATGTCCTTCAGGTTATAAGATATACAGGAGGGGCAGAACTCAGCCTGATAAAATGTAGTAATTCCCCACGTGCTTCTTACCACAAAGATCCCAAAACTCTTTTCAAATGTATATGATATGACCAAATCATAATCAGGAACCACTTTATAGAGTAGTGCCATCTTCTCTAAGGTGAAATGCAGCAGCTGTTTGATAGCACACAACATAGCCAACAGGTTAGGAGAAGAAGTGGAGAAAATTATATATGTTAGCATACTTCCGGATGAGCCAGTATACTGGCATTAATGCACATAAGTTTACAGTGCCATGTGATCTTGAATAAGTATAAGCAGTCAAGACTCCAAAAGGGATGCTTTCAGTAACACAGGTTTACTACTAATAGAACCCACTTCCTGAAGCAAATAGGTGTTGCACTGAGATCTCCCAACTGATTATTAATCTGACTTGATTTTGTGAGCTCCAGTAGGATCACAACATGAGATGGTATAAATTAGAGAAAATACTCTAGGACCTCACTAATTCTCATTAATAGAGAGCTGTTGCAGACCAGCCATGGTTATGGACTAGTGAGTGTTGGGGCAGGAATCGACACATGTGTAGTTCTCATTTCTGTTACCTACGCAGCATTTGAAGGGGTTGGCCGAACGGTGGTTTTACTCTGTGAGGTCCCAGGGGAGCATTAATTGCATCTCTGTTTGAGATACCTACTCTTGCTATTCCAGGCTACAGGAAGGATACATCCTGCATGCATTGCCCTCCACCAGGTTGCCCAGACCCGTGTCCACCTGCTTTTGGGCTGTGCCCCAGACTCCTGGGGAGAAAGTCGTGCTGCCACCGCTCCTCCATCCCACCCAGCATGCTTTCTATTGGCAGGAGCCCCCCCGGAAATTGTGGAGTCAATCTGGCCTTTAGGGTTTTCCATGGCCACTTTGAAAGAGCTACAGTAGATTCAAAAATTGAATAGTGTATGGTTTTAAGTGCACTAAGTACTGCATGTGGATGGCTTTTCATTATATTGAAGCAATTTTTGTCCTGGTATCACTAAAAACCAAACGTGCCCTCTTCGAAGTGAATGAATGCGTAAGCTTTCATGTGGTTGCAAGGTAAGCTCTAGCTGTGTCTTGTTTTTCACAGCAATGAGCTGTTCAGCTGAAGAGAATGAGAATTACCACAGCACAGAAACTCTCACCAAGAAACTCTCAGAGGTGTGTCAGTTACGGAAGGATATTGATGAACTGAGGACTCTAATATCAGACCGTTATGCTCAGGACATGGGAGACAACTGCATTACCCAATGATAACATTTTGGTCTCACAGCAATGACTACATTATTAAATGCTGCTGTGTTACAGATCTTTGCATTTCTATGAAGGAGCCCTGTGGGAAGACTGCATACTGTATAGGAGCTGCACATGGGTGTCTCTGCTGGATCTGAGGGTTGTGCATAATTAATTTGGGGGATGGTAGGGAAATCATAATTCGAAGTGGTACAGATCTCAATAAAATCTGTGTTCTCCAAGCTACTGAATGTAGGACCAAGCTGTGAAGAATGTTCCCATTAGAGATGTAGGATTTTATTTCCTCCCTCGTGGCTCAGTTAAACAATTTGTATGGTTATATTGTTTTCTGGAGTCAAAGCAAAGTCTCAGAAAAAGGCACTGTTGTTACTACTGTACTTACTTTCCTTCATCAGCGGTTGGAATTGCACTGTCAGAATTGAAAGGCTGGAGTGACAGGTTCAAGCACCCAAAGGTATAGAGAAAAAAATGGACAGTGGAGCCAGATGCTTCTGCAAAACACATCATGTTGGAAACGGCAAATTGGGGTGGTCTTAGACTATAACAAAAGGTGGTTGCTCTTTTTATAATTGCCTCGTGAATTAGGTAAGGGAAAGAAGGGGTAGTTTTAGCAGCTGATCCTGTTAATTATTAGAGTTTTTATTTTATCCAGCAACAGTCTAGGCAGACAAACTCTGTATGTGAATGTGGTCCCATCAGATTTAGATGTTAACCTTCTTCATATCGCCATCTTTTAACATGTTGCTTAAAAACTTTGTTTCAGTAATATGAAGACTGTGTGACACAAACCCACGAAAGCCAGCAGCTGTAAGTCTTAAGACTGGCTTTCTGTCCAAAAAAATGACACTGGAGACATCTCATGGTGTGTGTACTGTAGTTATTTTCTATCTACAACCTCTGTTTTAAATGTGTTCAGCCTCTATATCAAACGCCCAATCTTGCAGGCCTCCTGAAGGTAATGAACACCCTAAATCCAGTGGGTCAAGGAGGCTGGTTGGCACCGTGCAGCATCTGGGCCCCATACACAATATTTTCTGCCTCTCAGTGCTGAAAGCTCAGAATGCTATCCACAGACTCTCTCATTTTGTGTGGTGTGCAGGACTTGTAGATTTTTCCAGTCCTGTAGGAAAGGATTACTTTTTAAAAAATAAAGGAACACATCATTATCCAGTGTAAGACTGCCCCTGCAGGATAGATAGAATATTAGAACTCCCGCAAAAAGATTCTGTGATCAGAATTTAGCTGGGTAATTGTAAAACAAGGATACCGCTATTTCACTGGAGACAAACACAGCGAATAAATTCTGCCTTCAAATGCTGACCTGACCAAAATGGCTGTCAAGCTGCATTATTAATGTTAAACAGACAATGAGAAATAATCATAAAAGGCTACAAACACATTTAAAATTGAAAAAGTTTTGAGAGCAAATAGCTGCAGCTTGCTTGTGCAGTTATTACAGCTGACAGTACAGTGCTGACAGCATTAGATATCTTTTGTTAGTAAGCTTATGGGCAATGACAAAGTGGGCTGGAAGACAGCAAACTGTAGTAAAGGAATGGCTATTTTCAGTTTTTCTGACTATCTATATTTAATTTTCACTGTTTGTTTAAAACAGAAAAATAGCTTAAGAATAACGTGGATTGACATTGCTGATTTTAATGTTGACATTTTCAGCTTTCTGTTTTGTGTTAAAGTGTTTAAATGTCATTGTTATGAACTTAGAAAAGACTGACCAGAAGATTTTTAAATGACTAACTATTACATGGGTTTATTTATTCAACAGGTCTTGCTTGCTAAACTGTCCCTACACCTGGCCTAGGTCTGTGAAAATCTATTTTAGTGTTTATATTAATGGTTCTCAGTATTTTTCAAGTGCAGATTTACTCAGACTGAAGCAGCAACTTTGGGAGCATTAAGTCTTCCATCCTTACAACTGAACAGCCTAATCTTTACATTTTAAAAAAATCAGCCTATGAAAGGGAAATGTATTCCTGTTTTAAATCGCGTGGGCACATATTGGAGGGATAGCGTAGTGTTAGAGAAGGGAACAGCAGATTCTGTTTTTATCTGAGCCAGGTCCTCCCTGTGTGATGCTCAGCAGGTCACTTAATCTCTGTACCTCAGTTTCCCTATCTCAAAAATGGGGATACTGCACTGGGGAGTTTTGATTAATGTTTATAAAGCACTTAGAGATCCTTGGAAAGAAGTTGCTATGATTCAAAAGTATTATAGAAAGTTCTCCCAGTATGAAAGTCTTGATTTTTTTTTAGTTGCACTATTGTGAATGATACTGTAATTCTGCATCTTTTCTCTTTGGTATATTAGAGCGCCAATTGTATTTACATTAAAATACAAGAGCACTTGATTTTTAAAGTAACACACTGAGTTTATCTGCCTCAGTCAAATTAAAGCAGGGAGAGAAATGGCAGATGTGATGAGCCAAAGATACAAATTACTGATAAGGTTAGAATTAAGTGCCCACAAGAATAAGTATTTTTCCTTTTCTTTGATTTCTTAGAATTGAGCCTGCTGTTGTAGGAGCTATTGCTATATATGCATCAATTTACAGATGTCTCCAAACAGAATAAGCTTTGTCTAAGTAAGATATGCATGATTGTTTAACTGGTTAAAAAGTAGAGCGTGTGTGGTCTCATTTGACATATTTAATTTGATATGGTTGATTAACAAATGTTAACAGTGGCATTACTGAAACTGATTTAGTCATGACAACTTTTTGCCATAACTTAGAGACAATCTCAAGGGCTAAAAAAAGTCTGAGTGGATACTGTACCATTTTGTCTATTAGTGGACTTTCAGAGAAACAAGTACAGTAATTTTGTACAGTTTGTCTGTCTAATTTCTCCAATCCTTCAAGTGATACTTACAGTAAATAACTACTGTATTCAAGAATGTATTTTGAAAATGGCATAGAAAGGAGTTGTCTTTGGGTAAGCTATAGAAGATGCTATGTATTTACTGTTTATAATTAGTTCAGCTCAATTGTATAAACTTAACTTAGATTCTTAGCCTCAGATGTGTAGGTTTGTAGTGATGTGGTTCTGTAATTTGAGGTTGCTGTAACCACCAACTCAGGCGACATTTTAAAACTGCCAGTAGTGTAGCTGTAAGAGCCAAAGTTATTTTGCTCTGCTCATTTCTGAAGATTTCTTACCACTTTTAGTTAGAGGGGAAAATAATCCTGCTTTCTACTTTAAAGATAAGAGGGTGCAAGGAAGGATGGAAATCTCTCTTCAGGTACCTGACACCTGAATTTTGCCCTCACTTATGTCCATGTACCCTCAATGACATAAGTGGGGTTGCATGGGCATAACTGGAATTAGAATTTGGTTGTTTTAATAGAATTGGAATACAACAGGTTTTTCTGCTGCGTGGGGAAATATTTAGATTGATTCAAACAATCAACCAACATTTTTAAAATATGAAAACAAAACAGTGGCTATTGACAATTATATAAATGGATTTTATATGACTAGCTGATCAGCAGTATTAAATCCACTGCTGCATACCTTTGTGCCTTTTGTTGCCTACAGTAAATGTATATAGTCCCAATGAATTTTACTTGAGCTAGAAGAATGTCAATAATTATTGCACCTTGTTTGCTTGAACTACGGATCTTTTGGTTTTAGGCTTTGATAGTAAGGAGTCTCTTACGTACTATCTAGAAATATGTACTAAATGCTATAGGTACTAGGCCTACATCTTGTAAGTTAGATGATTTTTAGCAGTCCAGTTTTTCTGTACAGGAAGAGTGAGAGGGAAATTAATCAGAATGATAATTTTGTATATATTAACGACTGGTAATCGGTGGGGAGGGGGGGCTGAGGCTACCTTTTAAAAGCACAGCTGACATATGTACTGGCTCAGTCCCCAAAGGCTGGTAGTTATGTAAATTGGGTTCTGTTTTTGAACCGCCCAGAATACCTCATGTGTAAATAGAGTTGTCATGACTTAATCAAAATGCATTCAGTGTAAAAAGTAAAGGAGCCACTGGGTGGCTCACCTTTAGCTCTGTTGTTGCCTCTTTTTGTAATTTTTTTATAGTAGGGTTTACAGCTAGAATTTTGAATGCCAAAGTTCTATTTATTAAATAATAAGTTTTCATTGTTAACGGCTAGTATTTTTCCACTGGAATTTTGTTTGTTGATGTTTGGGATTTGTATCTACAGAGCAAAAATAAATTTTGTTACAAAATTACTGTTTTTAATCATAATTTATATTGTGATAACACCCGGCTAGGATTGATGCCTCACTGTGCTAGGCACTATACAAAATAGGAGCAAGACATGGTCCCTCCACTGAAAGGCCAGCAACCTAGAAGTAAAAGCAGAGAGAAAAGATACCAGTACATACCAACTGTGACACATACCTAGACAGAAGAAGGAAAATTACTCACCCATAATACTTTTTTTAAATAGTTCTCTTCTCCTATCCTACACCAAAAACAGCCTAACACACAGAAAATCCATTCCACCTACCAGGAAGCAAGTTGGCACAACAGTTGTCACTCTTGGACACCAAGTGCGCATCTTCACCCTTGGTATTCATGTACAAAACCCCCACTCAGCTGCCACCTAACCCTGTAAGTGCCTAGATTCACTTGGAGCTTAAACTTTTTGCAGTAAAAGTGCCCATGTTTCTGCCTCTGAACAGGGGTGCTACTGCCCCACTCCAGGGGTCCAGGTGCCTAAGCCCTAGTGCCATTCATAAACTTGGGGGAATAGGCAGCCTCTGAGCACACCTACCATATCAGGCCCTGCAGACAGGCTCATAACTCCACACAAAATGGCTATACGGGTGGGGGAGGGAATGAGAAAGTAGGACTTCCTTCATTACCTGTAGCTTAGTAGTTAAGGTACTTGCAATGTGGGAGACCCCTGGTATTGGTATTTTTATCTAGGATGGGGTGGGGAGGCATGCTCATTTGCTATCATACAAGGCCTTTGAAATCTTGCTTTTTGCCTAGCTGTTAAGGAATCTTAACATAAGGAGGCTCCTTGTGCTTCTAGCAGATATATGGGCTGCTCTGAAGTCCTTCATCCCCTAGCCTAGGAGATATTCTGGCTGCTACAGAGCCCAGCCAGCAGGCGGAAGAATCTATGCGCTATTCTGGCTAAGAGTCCAGAGGTGGAAAGTGTAAGAGAACATGCAGGTCAATGAGCAATAGCAAAGGGGTGTGTTTAAAATGAGTCTGTGCAGAGAGGTAAAAGGATTGGCCAGTTGTTGAAGATCATTCCCAAATGGGTCATGATCTGGGTCCTACATCTCAAAGTTGCATCAATTAATACAGGCCCTGTCACAGGACTCGACCATGTGGAGTTAATCAAAGAAAGATTTGTGTTTGTCCCCACTTAACACAGGTTCATAACCAGTACAGCCAGACACTACTTAAACACATGAAGCCAAAGACAGGCCAAAGGAGAATGACCAACTCCAAATGGCTTGTTGCCTAAAGCAAAGTAAAGAGAGAGTGTTTGTTTATATTCACCTCCTGGATCCTTGCAACTCCCTGTAAGAACTCTTCTCCCTCCCTTCTCTTTGGCCTTGGCTTTGGACTTTGTGTGAACCTTTCCCTCAGAGACAACCTCTCAGTCAGCCACCATCTCACTTCCCAGAGCTTGCACAGAAATTATTTGTTATGCCTACCTGCCAGAGACACCACAAAATTCACCTCTAATATAATTAGCCAGTGTGTTATACACATTTCACATCACTGGGAGTTCTCTAGCCCTCTCTCTGGACTGCTAATGAGGTACTCCTCATTAAATGAAACCCCCTCTGTCTTCTGTATTAACATATGTGCTGGGCAACATATAGCCCACTTTTCCATAAGGCTGAGCAGTTCATAAAAGATTAACTTCATGAGAATGTGATGAATGAATCTGTTAAAGCAATTTTAATACTTAAAAACCCCATTTTCCTCAGTCTAAATATAGTACTGTTAGTTTTCAGAGGAACAGCCGTGTTAGTCTGTATTCGCAAAAAGAAAAGGAGTACTTGTGGCACCTTAGAGACTAACCAATTTATTTGAGCATGAGCTTTCGTGAGCTACAGCTCACTTCATCAGATGTTTACCGTGGAAACTGCAGCAGACTTTATATACATACAGAGAATATGAAACAATACCTCCTCCCACCCCACTGTCCTGCTGGTAATAGCTTATCTAAAGTGATCAACAGGTGGGCCATTTCCAGCACAAATCCAGGTTTTCTCACCCTCCACCCCCCACACAAATTCACTCTCCTGCTGGTGCTAGCCCATCCAAAGTGACAACTCTTTGCATAATCAAGTCGGGCTATTTCCTGCATAGATCAAGGTTTTCTACATCCCCCCACCCCCATACACACACAAACTCACTCTCCTGCTGGTAATAGCTCATCTAAACTGACCACTCTCCAAGTTTAAATCCAAGTTAAACCAGAACATCTGGGGGGGGGGGGGGGGTAGGAAAAAACAAGAAGAAACAGGCTACCTTGCATAATGACTTAGCCACTCCCAGTCTCTATTTAAGCCTAAATTAATAGTATCCAATTTGCAAATGAACTCCAATTCAGCAGTTTCTCGCTGGAGTCTGGATTTGAAGTTTTTTTGTTTTAAGATAGCGACCTTCATGTCTGTGATTGCGTGACCAGAGAGATTGAAGTGTTCTCCAACTGGTTTATGAATGTTATAATTCTTGACATCTGATTTGTGTCCATTTATTCTTTTACGTAGAGACTGTCCAGTTTGACCAATGTACATGGCAGAGGGGCATTGCTGGCACATGATGGCATATATCACATTGGTGGATGTGCAGGTGAACGAGCCTCTGATAGTGTGGCTGATGTTATTAGGCCCTGTGATGGTGTCCCCTGAATAGATATGTGGGCACAATTGGCAACGGGCTTTGTTGCAAGGATAAGTTCCTGGGTTAGTGGTTCTGTTGTGTGGTATGTGGTTGTTGGTGAGTATTTGCTTCAGGTTGCGGGGCTGTCTGTAGGCAAGGACTGGCCCGTCTCCCAAGACTTGTGAGAGTGTTGGGTCATCCTTTAGGATAGGTTGTAGATCCTTAATAATGCGTTGGAGGGGTTTTAGTTGGGGGCTGAAGGTGACCGCTAGTGGCGTTCTGTTATTTTCTTTGTTAGGCCTGTCCTGTAGTAGGTAACTTCTGGGAACTCTTCTGGCTCTATCAATCTGTTTCTTTACTTCTGCAGGTGGGTATTGTAGTTGTAAGAAAGCTTGACAGAGATCTTGTAGGTGTTTGTCTCTGTCTGAGGGGTTGGAGCAAATGCGGTTGTATCGCAGAGCTTGGCTGTAGACGATGGATCGTGTGGTGTGGTCAGGTGAAAGCTGGAGGCATGCAGGTAGGAATAGCGGTCAGTAGGTTTCGGTATAGGGTGGTGTTTATGTGGCCATTGTTTATTAGCACTGTAGTGTCCAGGAAGTGGATCTCTTGTGTGGACTGGACCAGGCTGAGGTTGGTGGTGGGATGGAAATTGTTGAAATCGTGGTGGAATTCCTCAAGGGCTTCTTTTCCATGGGTCCAGATGATGAAGATGTCATCAATATAGGAAGTAGAGTAGGGGCTTTAGGGGACGAGAGCTGAGAGCGTTGTTCTAAATCAGCCATAAAAATGTTGGCATACTGTGGGGCCATGGGTACCCATAGCAGTGCCGCTGATCTGAAGGTATACATTGTCCCCAAATGTGAAATAGTTATGGGTAAGGACAAAGTCACAAAGTTCAGCCACCAGGTTAGCCGTGACATTATGGGGATAGTGTTCTTGACGGCTTGTAGTCCATCTTTGTGTGGAATGTTGGTGTAGAGGGCTTCTACATCCATAGTAGCCAGGATGGTGTTATCAGGAAGATCACCGATGGATTGAAGTTTCCTCAGGAGTCAGTGGTGTCTCGAAGGTAGCTGGGAGTGCTGGTAGCTAGGGCCTGAGGAGGAGTCTACATAGCCAGACAATCCTGCTGTCAGGGTGCCAATGCCTGAGATGATGGGGCGCCCAGGATTTCCAGGTTTATGGATCTTGGGTAGTAGATAGAATATCCCAGGTCGGGGTTCCAGGGGTGTGTCTGTGCGGATTTGATCTTGTGCTTTTTCAGGAAGTTTCTTGAGCAAATGCTGTAGTTGCTTTTGGTAACTCTCAGTGGGATCATAGGTAATGGCTTGTAGAAACTCGTGTTGGAGAGCTGCCGAGCAGCCTCTTGTTCATATTCGACCTATTCATGATGACAACAGCACCTCCTTTGTCAGCCTTTTTGATTATGATGTCAGAGTTGTTTCTGAGGCTGTGGATGATGCGTCCGCATGGCTGAGGTTGTGGGGCAAGTGATGCTGCTTTTCCACAATTTCAGCCCGTGCACGTCGGGAAGCACTCTATGTAGAAGTCCAGTCTGCTGTTTCGACCTTCAGGAGGAGTCCATCTAGAATCCCTCTTTCTGTAGTGTTGGCAGGGAGACCTCTGTGGATTAGTATGTTGTTCAGAGGTATTTTGGAAATATTCCTTGAGACGGAGACGTCGAAAATAGGATTCTAGGTCACCACAGAACTGTATCATGTTCGTGGGGGTGGAGGGCAGAAGGAGAGGCCCCGAGATAGAACAGCTGCTTCTGCTGGGCTGAGAGTATAGTTGGATAGGTTAACAATATTGCTAGGTGGGGTGAGGGAACCATTGCTGTGGCCCCTTGTAGCATGTAGTAGTTTAGAAAGTTTAGTGTCTTTTTCTTTTGTAGAGAAGCAAAGTGTGCGTTGTAAATGGCTTGTCTAGTTTTAGTAAAATCCAGCCACGAGGAAGTTTGTGTGGAAGGTTGGTTCTTTATGAGAGTATCCATTTTTGAGAGCTCATTCTTAATCTTTCCCTGTTTGCTGTAGAGGATCTTGATCAGGTGATTCCGCAGTTTCTTTGAGAGCGTGAGGCACAAGCTGTCAGCATAGTCTGTGTGGTATGTAGATTGTAATGGATTTTTGACCTTCAGTCCTTTTGGTACGATGTCCATCTGTTTGCATTTGGAAAGGAAGATGATGTCTGTCTGTATCTGTACAAGTTTCTTCATGCAGTTGATAGATTTCCACTCCATACGGCTAAATGCAGTGCCTTGCATAATGACAGGTTTCAGAGGAACAGCCGTGTTAGTCTGTATTCGCAAAAAGAAAAGGAGTACTTGTGGCACCTTAGAGACTAACCAATTTATTTGAGCATGAGCTTTCGT